GCTGACAACCTCCTCGGCTTTAAGAGGAAATACCAAGCCTCCCTGAAGGTGGAGACGTGACAGATGCCGACTGGCTTGCAAGTCCATATCCTCTCTTCCTTCACGCTCACCTACGCATGTGGAGCAGCGCGCTGTTATGAAAGAACGTTTGGCCTTTTCTGCTAAGTTGAAATCACCATTGCCGCCTGGAAAACAAAGAGGAGGAAGTTTTCTGTGTATCTTGCTCATATTGTCCCGCAATTCATTTGCAGGAAGTCAATCCAAAGAATCTTTTTACATACTAATTTTTCTATTTTCCACCTGGGTTTCATTATTTTTCTCATGTTCTTCCTGCAGCTTGGATCTCTCACTCCAGTCAGAACATTGCCGAAAGTTTTCTGAAACTATGATGTTGGGAAGAGCAGGTTCCTTCCGCCTGCCATCTCGTTTGTACCAAATTAGAGCAGCTTTTCAAAGGAAGTCTGGTTTTACCATTAAAAGTGGCAAAACTTCAAAGAATGTACTAACTTGCACGCAATTAACCGTGGAAGGGAAGTAATGCCCAAACGCACGCGTAGTCGCTGCAGCGAGCACCTCCTGCAAGGTTTGATTTGGGCATGGCTCCCGTGGGTTCAGAAGTGCTGGTCCCATCCTCATGGGCCACCACTGATGCGTCACTCCACAAAAAGGGTGCCCACGCTGCGGCTCACAGCCTCGTCTCCTGCACCTCTTCCTCCGTCTCCTCCTGCAAGGCAGTGATTTTAGGCCGAGGTTTGCGTTTGCTGGAGTTTCTGTGGTGTACCGGGAGTAGCTTAAGGCGGTCGGCGTGGCTGATGGCTTGCCTGAAGGAGCTCTTTTCATTCAGCAGCTTCTGAATGGATTCATACTGACGCATTTTATTGTCCTCGATTACCTGAAGAAACACATCACTCTGTTAGACAGGCAACGGTGGTGCTGGCAGAATTCAGTTGATGCAATTAACGGAGCCAAGAAGAGACATGAAGACAGAGATCTTCTTCTAGCAGGAAAAGTCTAGTTTACAGTTTGCAATTTCTAATTACAATCATAAAAATGGATGTTAAGATTTTAACATGTGGAACCTGGGGAGGAACAACCTCATGCACCAATATGAGTGAGGGGTAGACCTGCTGGAAAGCAGCCCTGAGGAGAAGGATCTTGGAATCCTAGTAGACAGTAAGTTAACCATGAGCCAGCAATGTGCCCTCGTTGCGAAGAAGGCCAATGGTATTCTGGGCTGCATTAAGAAAAGTGTGGCCAGTAGGTCGAGGGAGGTCATGCTCCCTCATGCTGTTGGGTTTGCCAGCTTCTCGCAACTTGATTTTTACCTCTGAGATTTTGTCAAAGTCTCCACGTACTGTGACACTTCCCCAGTCCTGCTAAATTGCCAGGCTAAGAAAGCGTTAACTGCAGAACACAGAGTTATATCAAGGCAGAGGGAGAAAGCTGCCAGGAAGGTGCCAGGCCTTCTTTGCTTTCTTCTTGCCAAACAAGGAAGCGCTCGCTGCTGGGCTGTGTTTGAAGGAGACAACAGGTTTGCCCTGTATGGCTGTGCCAGCCTCCCCTGTCAAGACAGCAGAGGCTCCTCCTCTGCCACTGCGATGCCAGCACGTGTTGGGTGAGTGGACAGGTCTGACTGCAGAGAGCTTTTAGGAGCTCCGGCGCTAACATGTTTTTCAGAGGGTGGGAAACCTGCTCCAGGCAGAGCGAGCACAGCGTGGGCTGCGGGCTGGCAGCAACACTCAAGCCCAGCACACGTATGGGAGCAGCACATCTGGAAGGACGTACGACCTGCCCGATAACTAACCTGCTTCCAGCTCAGACTGTGTTTCTCCTGCTGTGTTAATGCACGCAAGCAAATGCACATGGAAAACAATGTTCCACTCTGCTAAGCCAAGGGAGGTCCTCTCTTATGGAAGATTCAAGACAATACAGAGGAAGGAACCTAATTTTCAAAAGCAGTCATATAACTTGCCTTTTATTTCCTTTATTAACCATTTTTGTATAACAAAGGAAATACCTCACGACTTCAATACTTTTGTCACCTTAATTAAACAAGAAAGGAATACTCAAGTGGCTTGATGAAAGAAATCAGCAATTCTGACCATTAGATGTTTAGGAAACCCCTTAGGAAACCCCTCTGCCCCATGGAGCCTCCCATTGCTCACGAGCAAGTGCAGCTGTTCCTGCATTAAGTAATGGGAAAGCTCTGTGAGATGCTGGGAATTCTCTGGAGCTCCTCAGCCAATTGGCAATAAAAGGCACCTACATGAGCAGATGGATGACCTACACAACTGTCCTGCTTGGAAGAATGAGTCCAGCTCTCCCATGATGTGTCCCAGCTCATCTGAACCCAGGTGCCTACCACAGCTCGGGCGAAAGAGCAGACAGGAGCCTGCCGCTCTGCTGCACGGGACTAGGTTGCTCAGCTGCCCTGAAAGACCCCCATCGATCCAGCCAACTTCATCGATTCCGCTTGGTGCATTTTGCACACTCACTGAAATGTAATTAAACAACCGGACGTGAGACTAGGAGGAACGCTCACCAAAAATCGCTGGCACTCCAGCATCGCCTCCAGCCTGTGCTCCGATAGTATCACCGTGCAGTCGGCGAAGGCGTGCTTCAGGGTCTTCCTGATCACCTGGGAAGTTCTGAAAGGCAAACAAGCATCAGCATTTAGACTGCAGTGTTCATGCCAGTGCAGCCCATGACTTTACTGATGGTATTTAACAGCCCAGCTGTGTGTTGTAAAGCTCTCGTGCGTGGACACGAACACTCTGCAGTGTCTCAGCGTGCTGCATTTCTGCTGTGAAAGTGCCCGTCAGCCGTACAGCTACCGTCATAATGAGGCTTCCCCGATCCCCCCATGCAGAATTACTAACACATTACTGCAGTCAGGTTTAGTAACAGAACAGAGCAGTTACAGTAGGTCTCTTTTGGTGGGGCTGCCTCACTGATTTTTCTTATTTCATAGCAGAAGATAGAACAAGTGATCAAAACGTACACAGGGTCCAGGTGAGCACTTGGTTCATCCAGCAGCAAGATTTTAGCTTTGCTGAGAACTGACCGGGCAAGGCACATCAGCTGTTTGTGGCCGTGACTGAGGACGCAGCCTCCATCCACAAGAACAAAATCAAGCTGGCCTGGAAATTGCTCAATTACAGATTTCAGCCCAACCTGTCAGGAAGAAAAAGGAGAGGAAAAATTGATGAGATACATTTACTGCTGACTGTGGGTAGAGCAATTAATTAATTTCCTTGTCTTTCATTTCTGGCAGCAAAGAGAAAATATAAACAGATGAAAAAGAAAACCAGTCCTATAAAGACCACAAGCTAGTAGCTGAATGATATGAAAAGTGCTGAAATATTTGACTCTTACAACATACCAGGATTTATGTCAGGAATCTGAGAGCTAAGGGTTTGTTTGTTTGTCACATATGATGAGTTTTGGCGTTTTGACCAAAACTTTCCGAGTTAGCAGGCTAGAGAAAGGAATATATTCGGAAGTTTTTATCCAGCAGCAATGTACACCACTGGAAACATTTAGGAGTGTGATTTCTGAAGGGAAACCAGGCCTCTTTTGTTACTAGGGGGGGTAAAAAGAAATGACCAAAATTCACATGCTACATTACAGCAACAAAGAAGATAAACCAAGTCACCACAGTTGTTGGGTCTACGGCTCTGCTTTCACTGCCCCAAAGGTCTTGTGCACTTTGTTCATACTGATGGTGTCATGGGCTTCCCTCTAGCGCTGCTGACGACATGTTTAAAGGGGTGTCCATGCCAAGTGAAGCCCAGGAGATGTCTTCTGACTCTTTCTTCCAGGGCTCCTTTTTGCTCTCCTTAGGAGATGCATTTTGTACACCTCAAAGCAAAGCTTTGCATCTTCCACAGGTCCAAACCGACTGTGCTCCATGGTCTATGCAGCATTTACAGAGCAAGTTTTGTAAAATATGAGAACTAGGAAATCTATGTGAGTTGCATTGCTCCAAAAGAGGTTATAAAAATGAGATGCAACCCAAGTGGTTTATGAAGAGCTCTCGACCCAGATCTTTGAAATATTACTGATCTGCAATTCATTTTCATCCCAGGGCAAGAAAAAATGAAGTTCATCCTTTGTGTTTCCATTTTACATGAAGACTTTATTAAACTGGGCTATGTGGATAGATCTGTTGAGTTTCTGAAGAGTTCATGATATTATTTATCAGCAAATTAAGGCCACTGCTTTGTTCCCCACTTCTCTTTTTAATGCACATTGTGTCATAGCATCATAGAATCACAGAATCATAGAATCAGTCATAGAATCATAGAATGTGTTGGGCTAGAAGCGACTTTTAAGGGTCATTTAGTCCAACACCCCCACAGTGAGAAGGGACATCTTTAACTAGATTGGGTTTCTCAGAGCCCCATCAAGCCTGACCTTGAAAGTCTCCAGGGATGGAGCTTCCACCACCTCTCTGGGCAACCTGTGCTGGTGTTTCACTATCCTCATCGTAAAGAACTTTTTTTCTAACGTGTGATGTCCTTCAATGAAATTTTGAGGCCAACAGCTGGAAAAGGTGCTTTGTCCTTAAAACAGCACAAGGTCTGTCCATGTACCTGTAGGGACCGGGCAGCTGACTGCAAGAGTGAAACTTTGCCTCAGGGCTGACACCAGTCTGACAGGTTCAGGTGCTGAAATATGGCGGCGATAAAACATCTGAGAGACAGGGCCTTTCTCTGTGCAGCTGATCATGAGGAGCATGAGAAGTTGATACTTAACCCAGCAGGATCCTCTAAATCCTCAGCAGCCAACGTGAGTCAGGAATAAGCCAAACGTTAACTTTCTGTGCCCTGCTCCCCAAGTCACGCTGACTCATGCTCACTAACAAGCCAGATTTCAAGAGCACAAACTTTGTAAACAATCCAGTCACTCCTACTAAAAAGTATTACGGTTCTTTTTCTTTTCTATTTGCTTTGCTCTCTCACCCGTGCAATGAAAAACTCCGTATGACATACGAATTTGCCAAACTCCTTAATGGTGAACACTCCAAAATAATTATTTTTCACACCATTGTAAATGAAGTTTAGCTCTTTACACCCCAGGCTCAACTCCTACATGCAGTGAAAACATTCCTCAAAAGCAGAAGCAGAGCTTGACTTCTTGAAAAAAGAGGATGTTAAGCCACACTCCATTTCTTTCCCAGCCTCTGAGAAGCAGAGAAGCACGGCACTGAGCACCCTGCTGCCTCTGCCAGGACCAGCTGAAAAGCTCCTGTCACACCATTTAACCAAAAAAGTCCTGATGTTTTTATTTGACACTAAATTACTAACACAAAGTGCCTACTTTCCTCTTTTGCAAACATAGGGGAGAAATTTGATAAACCCAAAGCAGAGAGGGAGCAGAGTCAGAGTCAGCCTCCTTGGACTGGAAAGGATTACGTCCCATCCCGGGAAGCATTTTCTGACACTTGAGACCTGGTGTTATCTAACTACTGCAAGGGATTCAGCTCAGCATGGAAAGAGAACTGTAAAAATCTGGTCCCTAATCTTAAAAAAAAAAAAAATGTTGCTAAAACCTCAACATAGAATTAGAAGAAAATCTTCAGGTTCATAACATCTAATGTTTCATGATTCTTGTTCTCCATGAGCAGCTTGTGGCACGAGCAGTATTTAAGCCCAAATGGGGAGTCAGGGAGTGCTCCTTCTGAGCTGGCTTTACGTCGGCCTGAGAATCACAATAACTGAGGAAAGATTTGTCTAAGCTGAATAAAAATATGTCCTATTGTAATAACACCAGTCTTATTTCCAGGGCAGGCTACAGACATTTTTTTTTCCCTGGTCTCTAAAATGTTTGCTGGCAATTCTTACACATTTTTGTAGAAAAGTGCCTTGCAGAGATTTCATATATTTGCCAAAGCATTAAAATGAGAAAAGAGTACAGCCTGTTTTGCTGTATCAGCTTCCTCTGCTTTTTTTTTACTCACTTAGGATCACCCAGCAGAGCCAAACATAAAACCTCACCTACGCTAAGTCACTGCATGAGGAATCTAGACTGTGTTGTAGGGAAGTTTATCTTTTTTTCTTTTTTTTCTCTCTGACAAAGGCGCCTTTTTATTAGGTAATAAGGAAACATGGTTTATAGCATAGCATTATCTTTCCTCAGCACTTTTTTTTCTAAGACTCTATATAAATGTAACATATAATAATCATTTGACCTACACTGCACTCTGCTGTAACCACTTCACCAGAGGAAAACAAACAACACTGAACAGTTTTACCTCCTCTGCAACTTTCCATATTTCTTCATCATTCCACTGCCCGTAAGGATCCAAATTCATCCGAAAAGTTCCAGAAAATATGAACACTTTCTACGAGAAAGAAGATATAAAGACACAGGTAGATAGGTGCTCTGAAACATTGTGTAAAGCATTGTAAATTGTAAAGAATACAGAGAAAGAATAATCTGTCATCGTAACCAGAAAGAGCTTGTTGCAGGTTCTTAAAAATATTGAAAATCAACTTTTGGAAAAAAAAGTTATTTTAAAAATCCTTATGTTTAGTTTTTGGCACTTGTCTTAATAAAAACTTACCCAAACTTATCTGAAAAGCAGTAAAAATCACATTTCAGCAGTTTTCAGGATAAAAGTTTCCCTGTATTTCCATTTTGGAATAAACTTTTTAAAAATGACTTTTGATTCTTTATTGTGTGAAACATTGAAACAAAAAAAAAAGGCCACTGACCCATAGCATGTGTTCCCACGATTTTGTGGGAGACAAAAATCCTCCTGGGCATTTTTCAGTATTCAGGGACAGTGTTCTAAGTGGGTTTTCATCAATGATTTTTCTAATTGTAGCTAAATACATATTACTATCATTCTGTAACCTGACATTTCACCATTTCTTGTCAGTTTAGGCAAGCAGATGTAAGTGAACATCCCCCAGGTACACGGTTTGTAGTTCAAAAAGCAACGACTCAGACAAAAATTAAATATTTGTTTAATGTCTTTTTACATGGGGTGGGTGTGCCAGATTCTGGTGGAAATTAGGTTCTTCAAGGGACACTGAGGTTGTGCAACATTTCTCACAAGATAAAATCCAAGCTGTTGCTTTCTATGCTGGGAGGAACACCTGCTGCTCGCAGCAGGGAGAACTTGCTCTCAAAGAATGTAAGTGCCTTGTTAAGAAACATTACCATTTGCTTGCTCTTTCCTTGTACACACAGAACAAATGCAAAGAGGATGGAGTTGAGAGAATTATTTTCTTCTCTTTTGTCTTCCTAAAGAAAATATTTATTTCTCAAAAAACATGTTGAAATGCCAGCAGCTGACAGCCACATAATTTCTTGGAGTCCTGGTAGTCAAACGCTACCGAAAGCCGTGAAGGACTAGCTGTACCAGCACAAAAATGGCTGAGAGAATGTATATAGCAAGTACTTTCCCAGAGTTTGTCCAGTCAACCACAATTTCCATTTGACCTAACCTGGGAACTTGGCATTCTTTCATCAGATTTCAAAGTGATTTATACATGCATTTACATTAATCACTTAATGATAATTAATAGAAGTTCAAGTGTGGCAGAGGAAAATAAATTACATTAGTTAATTTGCTCTATTAAGATACAGAAGCCATTGCCTATAACTTATTCGGTGTAAGAGAGAAGGAAGTATCTGATTCTAGAGACCAGAGGAGAAAAGCAGCTGCACCGTGGTGCCCTGCAGTCAGTGGGGTAGATTTAAGCATGGTGATACCTTCGCCGAGCTGCCAGCAACGCACCGACTGAGTCGCAGCGGCTAAAAGGTATCGAAGCACTTTTGGTAGAGCCTAGGGGACAAAGCAGACTCCTTCCTCCGTAATCATGGATTGTTAATAACAATGAACGCTTCGTGGAAGCAGAGCGCAGCCCTTTTCCCACGTTCCACGCCGGGTAGGTGGCGTGACCGGGGCGATATATTTGCGGCAGGATTAGATTCTTCCAAGTAGTGGGTGCGGTGGAAATAATAACACTGTGGAAATAGTGTCAGACGTGGGTTTGTTCGCACTTTGAACGCCATACATTTAACTAATGGAATAGGTATTTTCATTTCTCGGTGGTAAAGAATAGTTAACTGAACAAACCAGTTTTAAAGAAGATAGGGCTGAATAACATTCCTACTCAAGTGCAGCAGTCAGAGAAATAGAGACCTAAATTCTTCAGAAGCTGCTCTTATTCCTAATAACTGTGCTTTCAAGAAGCAGGGCACTAAAAGCAAGCTATTCCCAAAAGCATTTTTTTCTTCCACAAGGTAAATATTTCATTGTCCTGAATTCTGGTACCTCTCTCTCCATTTCAACACCTCCTTCCTCCCAGCTCATTAGAAACCACACAAGGTTCACTTCAGTAAATATCAGGTGTCACGTGGGCAGTCTGGAGTCCACTTCAAAAGAAGCAGAAAAAAAAACCACCCCAAAATTCTTAAAAGCTAGAAATCTAAAGAGAAAAACACCAAAAGTGAATCCCATGGACTTATGTGTTTTTTATAAGTGGAAGAAGTAGAAATAAAGAGAGCATTGGAAGGGGGAAAGGGATGGCTGGGGAGACTGGCACCAAATTTGGAACCATTTCCTTGTTGGTCACTTGTTCAGATTCATCCAGGATGATATTGGGTGTGATCATACAACAAATAATTTCTCAGATCCAACGTTCACCCACAAGTAAAACACAAGCAAAACACTCAGAAATATAAATATGGTCATGTTTATGTTCTGCCCACCCCAAATACTGTAAATCAACCCCTCTGAAGGGCGTTAATCCCCCATCAGTGGCTAGAACCTCTGCATATTGGTTATGGTGTGGGATACACCCAGCTTGTGGCAACAAGCTTCTTAAGTGATTTGTTATGTGGATAACCAAGACCGTGGAGTAGTTAAGCAAATGCACACAGAAGAGTGAAAGATCAGCTGACAAGAGGCTGCTAAGGAGTGAGAGTAGCCTGGCTGTGAGCAGCTGCTCTTACAACGAAAGACAAGCCATGTGCCGATCCTCTGCGAGACCCGTGGACACTTGTTCCCCTACGCCCAAGGGCTGGAGAGCAAATGCAGCATTAGCTGGAACCAGACACGAGCTCCAGGCACAGAGAAGTCAGAGTAATGACAAGATGACCTCCATCTAGCCTCCTCTGCTTCGTCTGTAATAATATCATCACGAAAGACAAGAAAATTGCTGTGTGGATACTTTAGTGTTAGATGCAGAGTCAGAAGTTTTGTTTTCAGAAGTGTCCTTTAGGGACTATACATTGACATTAAAATATTTACAGACAAGAATAAGAGCATGGGACCAATAAAGACCTGCAAGTTTTTTGGGACCAGTTCTGTAACGTTCTCCTCTGAAGATGCTAAAATCTCTGCCTCCTACAGAACTTACTGGTAAACTGAGTGCTGTGCTCCTGGCAACACTGAACCCATGACCATTGAATCATGGAATCATGGAATCATAGAACCACAGAACATGCGCAATGAGAATCGACATTTAAAGGTCATCTAGTCCAACCTCCTGCAATGAGCAGGGACATCTTTAACTAGATCAGGCTGCTCAGAGCCCCATCAAGCCTGACCTTGGGTGCCTCCAGGGATTGGGTCTCCACCACCTCTGGGCAGCCTGTTCCAGTGTTTCATCATCCTCATTGTAACGAACTTCTTCCTACATTTAATCTAAATCTATTCTGCTCTAGTTTAAAACCATTGTCCCTTGTCCTATCACTACACGCCCTTGTAAGCAGTCCCTCCCCTTTCCTGTAGCCCCCTTCAGGTACTGGAAGGCCGCTACAAGGTCTCCCCATAGCCTTCTCCAGACTGAACAACACCAACTCTCTCAGCCTGTCTTCATAGGGGTGGTGCTCCAGCCCTTTTATCATTTTTGTGGCCCTTCTCTGGACGCACTCCAGAGGGTCTATATCCCTCTTGTGTTGGGCACTTTAGAGCTAGACTCAGCACTCCAGGTGAGGTCTCACCAGAGCAGAGCAGAGGGGCAGAATCACCTCTCTGGACCTGCTGGCTGCACTTCTGATGCTGCGAGTGTGCACGGTTGGCTCATGTCAACCTATATACTGCCCTAAATGAGCGTGTGGAGTTGTTAATTCATGTCCCCAGGTGCTCTGCGCATGGGTCTGGTGCAGCAGACGCTCCCCAATATGGTGATGCTGCCTTGTCTTGAGACCCCGTAGGAACTCAGCCTCTGTAGGACCCTCTGTGGGACCACCTCTGGGGAGCAGCGCTGCCTGGAAGGCCGCCCCATGCAGCCCAGCACACTGCCCAGAGGCTTCCCCGGTGACCTCCAGAAGTGAACAGCCCTGAAGGGTATGAGAGGCAATGAAAGAGTGCTGGAGGCAGGCGGACAGGAAAACAAATGGATGTAGCAAACAAAGGGAGACAGCTAACAAAAAATTGGAACTACAAAGGTAGAAGTTGTGAAATTTGACTTCTAAAGTAAAATAAAGGAGGAAAAGTTTTTTGGTGTTTTTTTGGTCAACTGGCAGTCCCACAAACTATAGTAATCTCATTCTCTATTCTAAGCTTGATTTTAACTCTGTAGGGAGTATTTCCGCATAGAAAATGGTGTGAGATCTGTTATGATGCAGTGCAATAGCATTCAAGAAGACACCAGAAATCATGTCCCTCCTTTGAGCTAGCAGCACCCTATGGGTCTCAGGTTACTCCTCATTTACTTTAATGCAAAATTGGCTGCAGGTCTCCTGTTCTTAATTCAAAGCCAAATTTCTGAAGGCATCTTCTTAATTTGATTCCATTAAATGCTTCAGGTTGTAATCTGCATGAGGACCTGCACACAAAAGTTCTTCAGTGTGTCGAAACCAGATGCATGCCCTCACCCTGGAAACACGGTGGGGAAACTGTTGCAGAAGAAGCATCAGAAAGGACTGCCCAGAAAGAGGGGATGGAGGGCTGCAACTGTACCTGAAGCAGCCTGTTATCACTGGTGTAATTGCTTTGCATGAGAATGACAAACATCCTGTAGCGCTGTGGTCAGGCTGTGCCTCAGCAACACAGGCGTGTGAGGAGCTACAGGAAGGAACTTCCTTGTGGGTGCTCCAGGAAACATGTTTTATATGATTTACCCCTTCACACCACTGCAGTGTGCTGACAGCTGGATATGAGATACTGACAGGAAGGTTTTCGCCTTTGCTGCGGCTCAGAGTGATCCCTGACCCCTGCCAGGCCAACCCAGCATCCAGCATCGCCCACATGGAGCAAATGGCAGTTTGTACTATGCAGGAAAGGTTACCATGGAGGAAAAGCACTTCTTTTCTCCTAAATTGGGAAATTGAGGGATAAGGAAGAGATGGAGAGAGTTTTGCTGCAGGACAGCTTCCCAGGAAAGGAAAGGCAACACTTTTTTTCCCCATTTTGAAGCCATAGGTGAGCAGTGAAAAAAGGCTCCCTTTGTTCTGCTGGGAAAAGCAAGGTAGCATATGCAGTTTCTTTCCCCTGATGGGAAAGTGCTAGTGAAATCTTCATTTTGTTCTGAATGTGGGAACTTTTGAGGCATAATGTGCAGTTCTTTGGCAAGGCTTTGGGACAGGAACTGTGAGCTGAAGCATGCAAACAGGCTGGCAACTCTCATGACCTTACAGAGAATGGAGGGCTGGGATTTTTTGGCACTGATCCATGTATGAGGAACTTCCAAACTGCACTAAATGTGTAATTTTAACAATGAACTAATAATGCACCTCACTAGCAGAAAGGCAAGAAACACTGCTCATGTAATAAATGTCTGTCTCATTTTGCTGATGGCTGCAGAACGATGTTTTCTATAGCATTAGTGACTCTACAGTGAGTACTCAGCTATAAGAATTATTAATAATATTTTTCACTGGAATAATGAGGCTCCTTGTTACCAAGCATTCAGTTTTGTCCTCAGTCCATGAGTTCCCAAGGACGGCTTGGGAAGAAGGAAAGCAGAAACCCTGCTGGGCAACCACATCCCAAAGGAAGAAAGGGCTGGAAGCAAAAGGATGACACAGGGAAGCACCTTCCAATACAGAAAGTTATACTTGGCCATGCAGGAAGATTTTGCAGTGGAGACATAACTGCTCAAGTTATGCTCCTTCATCCTATACAGTCGTCCTTTGGAGAACGTACCTGTCCTCCAAACTAAATAGATACAATTGCATTTGCAGTGCACTGCAGAGCTGCCTCGAGCTGAAGGGGTGACCTTTTCCCATGTTTGCAAGCAATGATAGTGCTGCAGAACAGAACCAGCAATAATAAAGAAATAAAAGTTTACAGGAATAGATAGATGTAAAAATGTTGAAGAGAGGACAGAAAGGATGATGAAGCTATCAAAGGGCAGCTTGCCATGCAAGCCTCAGCTCAGCAGGCAGTGTGTGACCAACCAGGCTGTTGGTAGAGCTCAGGTAAGAAATGAATCCAACCAGCAAACTCACTGCTCAAGTCAGGAGTCTTGAGTCAAGAGACCCAGCTGGTCTCTTGGTTCTGGTTTGTTCAGGGCGTAACTTGGCAGTGAAGAAAAGGTCTGTTCTGGTGTGCTAAAGAATTTCTGCCTTTGAAGAAATTTCAGAGCCTGATTGTGGAAATGCACAGAGGAGAGAGTTGTGCCTTCTTTGCAGGCTGACTTTAAATAAATGCCACTCAGGCCACTGTGGGATAACATTTTTGAAACGTAAGTCATCACAACTCAAAAATGATCATTAACTGGAAAAAGTCAATTTTCAGTCCCTCATATGTTTGCAAAATCAAAGCCATTGTGTTTCCAGTACAAGCATTTCAGCATCTTTTAACAGCTACCAAAGCCAAAATAGTGCCCTCAGGAACACCTCGGTCAGAGTTAAAACCCACCTTCATGACACTAAAAGAGAACAGGAGTGATTCCAGCCACTGAGTGACAGTTGTATTCATGACTTCACTAAAATTAGTTTGGTTCGCTGTACTGTGGTAGAAAGCAGAATTTAGACTACATACAGAGGGTGAATGTGAAGACAGACCTCTGCTTTGCTATGTTTGTTATGGAAAAGAAAACCACTGTTTTGGAAATGTAAACCTGACATATATTTTATTTAAACCATCTGGCTGTCCCAGTGTCTTTCCAACTACTTCAAAATGCCTCAGGTAGTCAGTGCACAATAGCTTTATACCACACATATTGTTACTGAAGCTCATCAGCCTTCTAAGACAGTAACCATATTTCAAAGACAGCAGAGTGAGAACCTGGGAACAAACCAATATGCATAGAAAGCAGCTGGCATCAACTTTACAGTGAGGATGAGGGAAATAACACACTATGAGGTTTGCAGCTGACAGTCAAAAGGAGATCCTTGGTCACCCTGGTTGGTCCACTCCTTGTGGGCATGTTAAGAATTGGGTCAACCAGGGTGACCAAGGATCAAGTCATACTTCTCAGTCTCTGGGGCTAGTAGGTACCCCTCAAGGATGGATAAAAGTGGGACAGACTGCATGGGCCCTCACAGGCTGGCAGGCTGATCTGCAGCTGGTGTCCCTCTGCCTCCCGAAACCACAAGTGACTCATTGCTAAGATTGCAGTCAATTACTACAGAACTAATCCATCACACTCACAAGATTAAAGGAATGAACACTGTTATGGTGTATGTATGGTAGCTAAAGAACTATACACTGTAGCTTTCAAAGAAGAGAAGGCAAATACATGTTATTCCTATATCAGTGTTGTTGGAAAGGACTGACAGCTTTCAACAACAAAAATACAAAACATGGCATTAAAATTATGCAGTTCATTCCATCAGTTGTCATTTCTACATTTACTGCATGCGGCTAATAATGTTGATTTTTGAGACAGATAATCCAGAGCTGTAACTAATATAGAACACTGGTCTAGTGGCAGAGACATTGGCAAGGGACTCACAAGCCCTAGGTTTAATTCTTTGCTCCTCTTTAGATTACTTTTCTTGTTCCAGTTATTTGAGAGCATTAGGGTGCCTCAGCCCATGAGAGGAACTGCTTCCTCTTTCAGGTCTGAAATGGCATTTCTTCCCATATGCCAGGACTGCTGCAAGCATCAATAACATGAATTGTTCCCTTATACATGCACCACGACATGGTAACAAGAAGTGACAGCTAAAAAAAAAAGCAGTAAGCCCAAGTTTTGGGATCAGCTAACGGTATAGTAAAACATGAGAAAAGCAGTAATTCTACTAGCCTGTCAGGCAATGCATAGTATCACACATTAACCATAATACGTGATATGGGGTTTAAAAAATGGTAGCTGAGAACACTACTGACTGTATTTTTTTCCTCAGGAGGTACTATCTTATTCTGAATCAACACGCAGGGACAAGCAGGCTACAAACACTTCTGTTTGAGCGTGCTGTACCTTCCCATTTCTAGAGGAGTTCTTGTGTCAGTGGCATAGAAACCCTCAAAAAATAGTTTGCTGTGAATCATTCCATCCATCCATCCATCCATCCATCCATCCATCCATCCATCCATCCATCCCACTCTCCTTTTAACAAAATCTTTGCGCTTTGGTTCTGTTTCTCAGCTTGAAGGTAACTGTGCACATATGGATATAGAACCAACAAAAATAAAGGCACAGAAATCTACAATTGAGATTCTACCTGAGGAATCACTCCAAATGCCTTTCTCCATTGCTGCACGCTGACTGTGTTCCAGGAGACTCCATCAATCTGGATATCACCTTCTGTATCCAGCAGTCTTAAAAATGCAAAAAGTAAGGTGCTTTTTCCTGAACCAGTTCTTCCTAAAAGGCCCACCTGCAACGCAAATCATAAACACAAATATTTAGTACTGCTTATTAACCACATATTAACCACACACCAAGGCAGAAATACTTGGGAGATCTCAGCAGTGGATAACAATCCAAATGGATCTCAATGGGATGGTAAATGTTGTCCATTTGGGAACAATAAAAGCCTACAGCAAGGGATGAACAAAATACTGGGCCAGAATGGTTAGAATTAACTGAGACAAAAAAATCTCTTAGCCTATCCTTAGCTGAAGAACAGAAATCTGCTTATATTATCTCGTACTGATTACTCCAGCTCTTTGTTCCTTTCTCCTTTCATTTGAATGAAGCCTTCTTCAGCAAAACCTCAGAGAGCAGACAAAAACCAAGTAGAGAGTGCACTTGACTCACATTAGTAAGCTATTGAAAACAAGGGACCTAACTCTGATCAGACCAAGAATTTGGGCCTGAAGCAGTGGCCATAGAACACACCATGCTGGAGGTACTGCATTTTCCAACAGCTGGGTTTTACACAGATAATGATGTCCTGTCTGAGTGTGAGCTGCTTTCGTAGGGTGACGAGTGAAGATGAAGGAGATTCTTCCTGCTGTCTGGCATCCTCTCCGTAACAGTGCCTCAGGCCTCTGAACCAGATGAGCAGTCTGTGCTGTGCTGAGTCTATTGATTGGGTAGATATGTATTCTAATCTACAAAAAGTGCGTGAGGGATGACCCACGGTACTACAGACCTCTTAGTGTAACCTAAGTTCCCAGAAAAATTATGGAGAAGATTGTACCGTGTGCTGTTGAGAGGCATTTAAAGAATAAAGCAATCATCAGCCAAAGATGTCGTGGGTTCACAAAGGGAAGGTGCTGTTTAACTAACTTGATATTCTTCTGTGATAAGGTCATCCTCCTAATGGATGAAGTGAAGGCGGTGGATGCAGTTTTTCTGCATCTTAGTAAGGCTTCTGATACTGTCCCTCACAGCATCCTTCTGGGTAATGATTAATGGGGTGAAATTTAACAAGTAGAAATGCCAGATTTGCACCTAGGACAGAGTAATGCTGGGCATAAGTACAAATTGGGAGAGGAGTGGCTGACGAGCAGCCCTGCAGAAAGGGATCTGAGGGTAAAGGTGAAGAGCAGCTCCGTACGAGCCAGCCGTGTGCCCCGGCAGCCAAGAGGGCAAACCCCATCCCGGGGTGCATCAAACACAGCGTGACCTGCCGGGCAAGAGCTGACTGTCCCGCTGCAGTCAGCCCTGGTGCAGCCTCACCTCGAGTACCACGTGCAGTTCTGGGCCCCACAAGTTAAAAAGGGTGTGAAGGTCCAGAGGAAGGCAACAAAGCTGGTGAGAGGGTGGGAAGGAATGGCCTGTGAGGAGCAGCTGAGGACTTTGGGCTAATCGAGGTTGAAGCAAAGGAGGCTGAGAGGAGACCTCGTTGCTCTCTACAGCTCCCTGAGGAGGGGAAGTGGAAAGGGAGGTGCTGGTCTCCTCTCCCTGGTACCCAGTGATAGGATGTGTGGGAATGGTTCAAAGCTGTGTCAGGGGAGGTTTAGTCTGGACATTAGGAAGCATTTCTCTACCGAGAGGGTGATCAGACACTGGAACAGGCTTCCTGGAGAGGCATTCGATGCTCCAAGTCTGTCAGTGTTTTAGAGGCATCTGGGCAATGCCCTTAATAACATGCTTTAACTTAGCTCTGAATTAGTCCGGCAGTTGTCTAGACAAACGTTGTAGGTCCCTTCCAAATAAAATAGTTCTATTCTATTCTATTCTATTCTATTCTATCCCTTCAGCAGAGGAGAATTTTCTCCTCTCCTGCTTGCTTTACATGTGCTTTCCTATGGGGCAGATACAAATCCTTTCCAGTTTTAGGAGCATGCTCCAATTCTGGAAATGCTACTTCTGAGACCAGGGTTAATCACCAAGATTGGATTGAGTTCCCAAATTATAGTCACTGAAAATAAGATAAATGTTTTAATTGCTCTCCACCCTCTCTATACAAGAGTATCTTCCATCTTCCATACTCTATTGCTTCAAGGGATTTTCCAGGAAGTAAATCCATGAGACTGCAGCAGCACCTGCACCTTCACACTCCACAAATCACAGCTGCCTGTCTTCCAAAGGCAGAGCAGTTTCACAATGGTGCTACAGGAAGTCAGATCCCTAGTTTCAAAATTTTTATATTCTCAAACTTAGCAGATGAAATATTCAGTTCACGTAAACCAAAATATGCAACCTGGCATAGACTGGTGCTATCCAAATTAGAAGCAGTGAGCTGTCTCATGGCAAGGTCAGTGAGCTGTCACTGAACCTATTTTCTCATCTATATAGGAGAGTTAATATCTCCTCTTCATCCATACGGCTCCAGCTCAGAAAACTGCACGAGCCTTTCTTCACACCCCACTGAGGACAGTCCTCCACCATGAACATAAAGCAAAGTGTTAAACATCTGCCTAATTGTTGCATTGAAAATAAAGCTCTTTCTTGAACACAGCCCTGAACATGCATGAAAATTAACTACAAGTTTGTGAACCTTCTGAAGAATAGAGCTGTTTCTGATTTGTTATATAATAATTCGGGGCAGTGTAGAGCCTTCATCGAAGGGGCGAAACAGCACCTCCACCCTCCGGCCTCCAGAGCCAGTGGTGCGTTACGCTTGGCACCGCAGCTGGTATTCTTTCGTGCCCTGCTCCACTTGGGTCAGGCTGCCCCCAGCACCTGCACTCGCCAGCAAGATTCCCTCTGCCCAGGAGGAAAAGGCACAGGAATACTACCTGGGGAACTGCTGCATACATATTTTATCAATATATTTTTCTCCTCATATCCAGCAAACTTCCCCACTGGGTTTCACTGAGGTGGTTAATAGCCTCAAGATTTTTAGGGTAACTGAGGCAGACTTTCCTCACCCTTTTTTTTTTTTGTAGCCAATAATCCTACAGATGAGCTCCTTTTCAGAAGAGATATAAGACATTTTCTGTTCTTCAGGTGTTTAAGATGATTCCATGGTTTATGACAACTTCATTTACAAAACCTTACTGAACTCAACCTACTCTTTAGCCAATGAAGAGATTTATAATGACATTTCTACAGTTAAGTCTAACAGAAGTCAGATCAAACAGAACAAAACAGTGTCTCACCCTCTGCCCCGAACTTATCGAAAAGGAAATGTTTTCTAACACAGCAGCTCCTCCTTCATCATATTTGGCCGTAAGGTCCTTCACAGTCATTTGGCCCCCAGATGGCCAGCTCTTCTTTTCCTTCGCATGCCTGTTTTCAATTACAAGGGCATCTGAAAGCTGGTTATACTTCTGTGGCTTCATGTTTTTCGTCTCTTCTGTTGGCATGTCGATGAATTTAAATATTCGCCCAACAGACCGCATCTACAAATACGAACATATAGTATTCTAGCTGTAATTAACACTGATCTATCAAAACAAATGAAATCATTCTTAATTCCTAGCCAGAACAGTGAGTCTCTTTTCTGTGTAAGTCATACCATGATGTAATTTTCAAAGGTAGGATACTTACGTAGAGCTCTCGATTCTATTGCCCTTGTACTAAGATTGGTCCAACATGTGGTTCCACTTGCTTCCACTTTTTAAATGGACACAATTATTCTTTCTACCTTTAAAAATGTATTTTGAAAAGCACAGATGACCTGTATTTATGAAAATAAAGTATGATAATGAAGGTAATCTTGGAGTCTTCAACTCCTTCCTTGTGCAGCAAGTTGACCAACCAAAAAAAAAAATTCCCTGAATTATGATTGATCTCTAAAGATCAGCAGACTGTGTGGAATTTGACAGATGAAAAGCAGTAGCATCAAGTAAAGAGGAAAAATCACGAAACATTAACATCTGAGTATTTTTGAGAAATTATCTATAGATTTTACAAAAAAAAATAGCAGCAGGTTCCATGATAATTAATTTTATATCTGTAATTATATAAAGTTAGGTGAAATAATCAAGTCCAGTAGTTCATGAACTTCAGACAGAAGTTACTTACACCAGTCCTGAGCATGGGACTAGAAGGTATCCTCTTGATCTTTTTTTTTTTTTTTAATAGGTCAAGGGTCAATTAATAAATAGTTAATTCATCTCCTTCACCAGAACTTCACTGCTTGGGTGGTCAGAAAACATATTTTAAGTATATTTTTTCTTGTAAATTTATTAATTTTTAATTCTAAATAGTTCTTTTTCCCAGCTGCTTTCCCCATTAATTTATGGAGGGCTACATTAGATCACACCACTTTTTGCTTTCCAGGACTAAAGAAAATCCAGATTTAAGCCTCTTTCTTAACACATGCTCTCCTTCTTCAAACACCCCAGCTCAAATTAATCTTTCCCACCTGACCAGAATGTGCATCGTATTTTGGATGATGTTTCACAAGGACATTGTACAAAAGCATTGACACTTTCCTATCTGTATTAGGAATGTCTCAGTTAACACATCCTAGGCTCATACACTCTTTTCTTCCCAGTCACATCTTACAGTCACTCTTTGATGAAGCAATGATCAACCAAGCTTTCACACATCTTAGCCATTTCAAACCAAGAGATCCGTACTTCCAACAGAACTTATTCTTAGCAGTCCCTCAATTCAAGCCTTTGCACTTCGGTTACTGAAGTCTATTTTATATCTGCCATTTCAGGTCACCTAATACCTTTCAACTCCTAGCATCCTTCACGCTAACACTGCATTTCAGCTTTGTGCCTTTGGCAAATTTCTTCAGCTCAAGTTGTTGTTTTTTCTGCTTTGCTGAGAGCATTAAAAAAAGATTAAAACAAGCTCAGTCACAAATCTAATCTTTCTTGAGTAGCCTCCCTAATACTTCCAGCTTAATGCCATTTCCTTTCTGTCCAACTCATTAACTAGTTTACAGTTCTTGTAATAATCCTGATCTCCTTCATTTATATAGTTTATGAAACAGAGCCACAGCCAGTGCTTTCCTGAAGATAAATGAGATCTACGACATTACTTTTGTCTGGAAAGTAAATCAGGGAACACAGTCATCAGGTTAGTCTGCTGCAACCTTAATGTCAGTAAACCTCAGTGAATTTACTCTGTAAGTACTGCATCTTTAATCACTTCTTCAAAACACTTTCTAAAGACTGCTGCCATCAGACTCACAAAGTGTTAGTGGCATCAGTGACTTATCATTTCTCCTTCTTAATCAAAAGTGATGGTTGTTATTCTGTCACCACCACTGCGAGCTTGGTGGATTCAACTGAAGTGGCTCTTACTGGGTCTTGTGCTTCGTAGCCAGTCCTTCCTGAACCTTAGGATGGAAGATCTGGTCCCATCTGCTCTGGCACCGTTCCAACCAGGTTTCACATGTTTAACTGAAATGTCCAGCTGCAGAATCCAATCACACTTAGTTGAAGACTCTGATTTTAGATGGACTGACTCACGGGTGGTGTGTGCACCTCCATGAACCATACTCGAGGTTTAAGGGACCAGGATTCTAATACAGGAACTCAGTTACATGCCTACAGCTAGGCTAGTTTTTGTATATAATTTCTGCCTTCTGCTCCATTTTCAACTCCCCAGATTAAACACTGCCCTTTTACTGAGAACTGAGATCAAGTATTTATCCAGAATTTGGGCTGTTCGCAAGTCTGTTATTTTGTCGAGTCTCTCTTCTCTGTCTCCTTTTGACCTTCAATGCATAGTTTGATTCGGTTCTGCAAAGGCTGTAATTTCTATCATACTTTGAGAGAATGTTGTTCACGCTGGTATTCCTAGAGTCTCCAAAATTTTATATTGTTTTTTTCTGTTTTTTAGGAAACAAATTTCAGTCTCTTACTTCAAGAAGACATGACTTAATTTTGTGTTCAGGCTCCTAAGGGCCTGAGTCCAACTAACTTAATTAACTAGTTTCCTCATTTTACTAAAATTTGTGCTTGTAAAGAACAAGAGCAAACTATAAGAAAGTGCCACTTCTTATTGGTCAGAAATCATTTAGCAAAATAAATTAATAAATAGATAGATGCCTGCATAACTACTGCATCCAGGAATGTCTGGGCCTTATTAGCATTTCTTCTCTAATCTGTATTCCCAGTAATATATCTCTCTTTAGGGGCACTATGGAAAACCCTTTGTACATCTTTGGCCTTGTTTAACTGCCTTTGTATTCCTTCTGTAAAGTGATTCTACTTGATGTATTACCATTCCTTCCTGCTCTTCGATCCAGACTGAAATATTGTTCGGTGGATTTTCCATGTGGAAGCAAATTAAATACAATGCAAGGAAATACTGGGATCATAGCTTACATCTCAGCATCTTGAAACACAGTTGTGACAGCAGCTTTGAAAAGCTTGCTAATGCCCAAGCCTATTGCTTTCAATTTCCATCTCAATCACTGTGCAAGATGTTCCATCTTGCATGGTCATCATCATGTTGATATATGAATGTAATATCATTTCTGTGACAGAGCCTTGGATCAAACTGACAATATTCTTCCTGTCTGACTGTCTATAGTAAACCGGATGAGTACGATGCATTTATTTTAATTAGTGTTCGGTGGTAAATTTGTTTCCAGAAATCTTATATTTACAGAAATATTGCCACTTCTGAAATGAAGGTCTTTCTTGGCTTTGCCACAAGCTGTTAACGTTTGTACAGGCAGGGTTTCCATATAATTGTGCAAGAGATCCTACCATGACACACTGGCTAAAATCTGCTATGAAGCCAGCTGGACATATATCCTTTCCTTACAGCAGAAAATTTCCTCTCTAAGTCCCAGCTTTCCTGATAGATTTATCAGTCACATCACCAACGAAGATATTTTAGACAGCTTAATACTTTAAATCAATTCAAAAGGATGCTTTCCTGGTTCTGTAATTTGAATTTTGATTGAGATCTGGGCAGAGTGCAACATCAATGTCAACAACATTTTACAAAGATATCCATTCTTCCTTTCACAGGTAGAAATCCGTCATTCATAATGACAGGCATAGTGTAGGTGACAGTACGTTTCTTACTCATTATTCCCATCAGAAATGTGCCTGCTATATTCACATTCTTTAACTAATGCTACAGAATAAAGTATATTTACTACTTCCATCTAAAAATGTCTAGAGCATAATACACTATTTTTAGTCTTGTCTAATTGTTTTACTGAGATTTTAATAACATTGCAAATTCTTTAATTTACTTTCTCATTAATATCACTTAAACTCTTTTTTAATGTTGAAGGAGAATTCATAATATAATTATGTAATGTATAGTTCCAGAAAGTGGAAGAAGTAATTCTTTTACATCTAATACAATTAGTTTCATCAGGCCCTATGTTCTCTTCTGTTATGAAGACAGCAGTTGCCCTCTCCAGACCAGACACGAAGAGTATTCACACCACCTCCTCAAAAACGTTGTCTGGAAGGCGTGGTGTGCAACTGAGAGATCCTATGAAGGATTGACCCAATGGCTCATGTTGTAAAAAATCCTATGCATTAAGTCACTGCAAAATCTGGGCCAATGCAGGCGTACCATACGGTTTTACTGAGGTTTCACATCCTCTGCTGTTACATTTTAGGTGCACTTGTAGGACATACAGTCCTCTTCCAAAGTACAGAAATGAAATATTTAGTCCATGTCAAACCAGCACTGATTTTTTTTTTTTACTCTTTCTCACACTGCTTTGCAGGCAGAAAAGGAAACATTCTAACAAATTTTTCTTGTTTCTGTTCCCTTCCAGATGACCAACAGCTCACTTTGAAAATTGTCATTCTGATGCAGATTTTATTGCCAAGTATTTAGACTACTCACATTTTGGAAATTAACAGTTTTCTCAGGTTTTCTGCTGGCAGTAGTAAAAAGCAGATCATGTCCCAGTTAAAGATCATGTCCCAGTTAAAGAAAATACCAGTTGAAAAGGGTTAAAGGAGAAATAGCACAGGATAATAAAAGGAAAATAAACCAGAGTAAAAGTACCATTCTTTTTCACAGTCCTACTTTTTCCCTTTGGTCCTCTTCTCTAACAAGTGCTACTTTAATTCTTCAGCATCCCTGATGTTCAGGGTGGGGCACTGTGAGGTTTAGCAAGTGTGGTTTTAATATCTCTCTGGGGGATTCTTTTTATATCTCCTTGCATAAGTAATCATGGCAACAGCAAAAGCATGGCATTTTTTCTTTCCCTGATAAAAGGAGTTGTCCTTCCCAGTTATAGCACTGCTACTGCAGGAGACACATCAGTGAAGGAGGAGGTTATGAAGTTTTAAAACAGTCCACCGGGACTAGCCAATGCTTATCTGTGAAAGTAGCACTTACTGGAAAACTTATTTTCCATTTCCTTATGAAGGAAAAAAATTAAAAATACTACAAGACTGCCCAGAGGAATAAGAAAAAGACTGAAAACCAGCTAGAGGGATATTAGCAGAAATGATCAAAGTGAAAAGATAAATCTAGCCTAACTGGTAGCTTTAAATGAAACAATGGATAGCTGTCAGAGTGACCACATATGTGTTTTGTCTTTTGGGTTTTGTTTTTTAAAAAAAAGCAGAGCAGATAAAATATCAGGGCTGTAGAGAATGAAATGCCAAAGCCATTATGGGTATTAAAAGACAATGGGGATTTTTCAGTTGGAGCCAAACCAGTTCAACAGAAATTGCTTCCAAGAGAGTATCTGTGTATGTAAAAACAAAATCCAACCTAGAAACTCAGATTTCTTCAGTATGTATGCCAGTGTCATAGAACACTCAAGGAGATTGTGAAGAATAAAGCTGAAATTGTCACCCACCAATCTGTTTGGCTGGCATTTCTTCCAGAATATTTTTTCCCTCTTCATGTGATCCTGCCTCCCTATTCTCCTGCCTTCCTGACCTTTTGCTTGCATTTATTTTGCTGATGTCCCATGCTTTGCATATCTTGTAAAACAACTCAGTACGAGCTTCATGCTATGTACTAATTACAGCATCTGCACCTTTAGACTTGCAGAAAACCACTTGGAGAACTTGCACTGGCAGGAAACTCCAATGTATCTGACAGCCAAAGGCTGCTACCGACAAATGTGCTACATATTCAGGCATGCTTGTGTGCAGGCTCACAAGCACAGATATCGCAGCTGCTCAAGGAAGGGCAAAAGCGGTACATGCATATCGGAAACTGGAGACACGTGGCGATGTGTCAATTCTAGTCAATCTGGTCCTGTGAGGAGCTTCAAAGTAGTCCTTGAGAGAAAAAATAAAGAGTATAACCAAGTAGACTACTAAGTCAGGCACACATGCAAACTTTTGCAGGAAACCCGTAACCAAATAATTGCAGAAGACTTTAAAGAGGGAAGCGCTAAATGTAGGGAATACAAAGAATAGGAACCATTTTATCTGCATCACCCAGTGAGGCAGTTTTATTATCTTGAAACTGTGAAGCTTTTTTTTTTTTTTTTAACCTGCTTGTGCACAGGAGCAGCTTCTGAATGTCAGGAAAACCATCCTGCCAGCAGCATCTATTAGTCTGTCATCTTGGATAACTAAAAATTCATGGAACTGGGGTGGGCATCTACCCAATGCTGAAAGAAGTCCAGAGGATCCACCTATAAACCATCATTAATACAAAGTAATTTGTTTCAATATAGAGAAAAGTACTCACAAACATCTAAAGCTGCTTAAGACTTTCTTTTCAGGGGAAAGGGAGTTACTTCCTTATTGCTACTAATAGATGACATTTTAACATCACTATATTTTTAAAAAAATGTTCCTCTTAATTAAAACACTAGTGTGTTCAGTACCCTCTGAATCCTAGAGACTTTCTGTTGTTCCTGTAAACCACCTTCAGCTGGTATTAAGCTGTACAATATGTGCATGTGATTCTTATGCAGATTGTTATAGTGGATCACATTACGCCCTACAGGGCCAAGATGGAGTTTACAAATGAGAGCTGACTGAACGTTGTTGTCATGTTTTAGTTCATTATCAGCCAAAAAACTTGCTGTTTGCTGTCTTGCAGCTACGGCAAAGAAGCCCTTTCACAAAGTGCTTGCCCTTCAAGACAGGCTGTGCTAACAAGCAAAGAGAGAGTCAGCATAAAACACCTGGTGGATAGGGAAAGGACGTGGCCCTGACCAGCAGTCACCTTTCTGGATGACCACCAGTCACACGTGTAAGCAAGATGTTGTAAGTGGTTAATTTCAGTTTTGGGGCTCTTAAGGATTTCCTTCAGGATGAGGGTGCTTGAATCACTTCTTTTTTTTTTAAAAAAAAAAAAAAGAAGTTGAACTGGCAAATATTCCTTCACTAACATTGTTTACCCCAATTATATATTTTTTAAATGACAACTCATTTCAGCTAATCAGGATTTAATTGTCTCCAAGATCACTGTACAAGCTGTTTGCTTTTCAATACTGAAATCGTTGGCTTGAGAAGCTAATTTAGAGTTCAGAGAAGGTATCACTGGATGTGGAGATAATTTTTTTTTTCAGAAGTCTTATTTTTTCTTTATAAGGCTCCTGTATTTTGTTACAAGTGAAATTTCCAAAGCGTATAGAGAGAATTGTTACATTTTAAAATAATGTCTAAAACTTTCATATGTTTAAGCTAAGGTAGGATGAAAACTGCAAGAATAAACATATTATTTTACAAGCTTCCTGTCTGCTTTTCGTATCGCAACAAATAGGTGATGATGCATTAACCTTGTGAAATAATTTGTTTTAAAGCCAACCCTAACTAACAAACTAACTATGCAAATTAAAGGGGTAAACAATATATACCTCTAAAGCTTTGTGTGAGACTGTACTTTACACAAAACTAGAAAAAGACTCCTAGGGAAGTTTACAATAGATTTTTAAATAACTATTGATTTTGAGTGGAAGGAGTTAAAAAACATCCATTGTGATCTGCTGTGCAAAGCCCTTAAGTAGAGCAAGCAAGGTATATTATATAACTTGGTAAGGTATATAATGTGGTATATAATAAGGTATATACTATAAGATATATCATGAGGTATATAATGTACCTTGCTAAGGTATATAATCATAACAAAACAATTCCAAGACTTTAGGGAGTTTTTCCATCACTGCTACATGTGCAATCTGAATCCTCAAATGCAATTACTTGCTGTTGCCCATTCTAGTCCAGAAAACCTTGTGATCATCGAAAAACTCAGACTGTTCTGTGCCAAGCTGATAGGTTGTTATGAAAGGTACTAGGGAACAGACACATCTGCCTGATATCCAGCTCTGAAAATAACTCACCAAACACTTACAATCAACAAAATAAGGAAATTTTTCAAAAGAAAGCAGAGCACAGTATATTTTATGCTTACCAAACTATCCACATCTATGCTTGAGTTAACTGCCCACTGCAAGGTTCCCATGATGTTCATAGCTAAAGTAAGAATAATGCCAACTCTACCTGGTCCATCACCTGTGGAGAGAAAAACACATTCAATTTACATGCAAGTAAAAAGCCAATAGAAATCAGAAAATTAGCATGTATATCTTAAAATACATATTCCCATTCTCTCCTCCTATTTCATTGAGAATGTGTGGACTTGTTAATTATGCAAAGGACTGAGAGGTTAAAAGCTTTAATTGAAAGCCTGTTAAACAGGTGGCTTTGGCATCGAATTCACTAGAAACCCTGCTCTTGCTTCCACAGAAGAAAAAATTAAATCTTGGTACTCAAGCTGTAAAGAGAATCAGGCCTCTGCAATCTTGATTTCAATTTCCTGCTTCCAATACATATGAATCTGTGAAATGACACTTGTCTAACTAAAAAAACCACAGCTAACTACTTTAAAATTCAAAATAGTCATTTCTTGCACAAATGGAGGAAATGCTCCCCTAACTGTTCCACAAAGATGCAGAGATAAATTCTTTTGCTCTAACTGTCTGCTGTAACAAGCATGGGATTTGCCAGGGATCTTTTTCTTTATGAGTTCATACAATATAAGCATTTAAACTACTCCACTGTTAATTTTTAATCTCGCCATGCATTAAATGGAATTGGAAATTAAGTCAAATGCTTTTCTATGATTTCTCTGTTTCTTCTGTGGCTTTCATCAACAAACTTCCTCCTGTTTTGCTTATAGACTTCTTGTTATTAGACTAATTATTGAAGTAATCAATAAAAGCAAAATATTCCTCCTTAAAGCTGACAGACTTAGAAAAGGAATTTAGTGTTGCTCCAAGGACCTACTACAAGGTTTACAATGGTAGCTAGATGACAAATTTTCACATTTGTAAAAGAGCTTTTAACCCCTTTTCTCAAATAAAATATCCAGAAAGAGAATAACACAAGAAGCAGGTTTCCTAAAAAATTCCAAACTATTAAGTGCACAAGGTAAAAAATAAGAAGGGCAGCAGAGGACATTGTTTCCCTGTGAATTTAAGGGAAATAAAAGTCTCCTTTGTAACATAAGTAGTGCAGGTGCATATTTTCATACAGAAGCGTTCGTGTGGTTGTTGGGGTTTTTTTCCCTAAGAATAAGGAGAGCTCCTTATACCAGAAATAGAGGATAGCATTTCATACACAATACAATATTCAATAAAGCATACACTTTTATGTAACTCCCTTTCAACACTGAAGTATTATCAAATCAAATTTGGATGTTGTTAGAACCAAAAAACTCCTTCATGAAATCAGCAATTTCTTGTTCATCAGTGACCATAGTATTGAAAGCGCATGCAGATCCTGCACACAAAACTAAGTGTAAAACTATAGGAAGAACAATGCTTGAGAATCAATATCAAAACCCATACATAACAAAAGCATAGCGAATTAAAAACTAGTTTTGCAGTAATATGTAGCTAAACGCCCTGAGTTTTTCCAGATAACTGAATTATCCAAACATTTTGGGGACATTATTCTCCTATTCTCTGCTTGTTAGAGACTGGCTATGCCTGGCCAGCCACAGGCTGCGTTTCAAACACAAGATAGTAAGGTCTAGAGTGATTTTCACTTGTGTACTGGGTTTACTGGAAGTGGTGAGCCAGTTTTAAGGGAATTTTGAACAGAATTTGCAGAACTTCGCAATGGAAAATTGGTCAGTGTGCTGGAAATTAGAGAACTGGATGACTATTTCTGCTGGTGGTGTAGCTTTAAAAGATCATTAAAACTTTGCAAACGAGAAGAACATTAACTTCTATGTACTAAAAAACTATGAGCTCTGCAGGTAACAAAAAACATCCAAGATTTTCAGTACAGTAACGTGGTTACATTAATATATTTAAAACACATGAGATTGCTTTTACAGCTGTTACAGTCAAGAAAAGAAAAGTTATGTCCCTTTAGATATTGTTTTCAGATTAACCCCTTTAATGAGTCCTCTACAATATCAGATTGCAGATAAGAATCGTGTAATCTCTATTTTAATTAAATTGCGTTTACTATTATAACATACTGCAGTCAGTGAGTCTGGTGTACACTAAATTTTGCAGCAGTTTATTTCCCTCAGAAGTTTCTAAACCTGAGCTGTTAAACAGAAGCATTACACTTCCACTTCAGTACGCAAGTAAAGTTACCATACCTGTAGTTAGGATAGAGATGAATGCCACGGCAACAAAAAAGACAACAAAAATCATTTCTATCCTCATCTGGAACCAGCGCAGTGTCGACAGGTAGAGGAACCAGTTTGCTGTGTGTAGGTTCAGGGCTTTGTGAAATAAGGTCTCAAAATACGGCTGCCGCCCAAAAGCTCTCAGCGTCCACAGCCCTTTTAGGCTTGTAACAAGGTGGGCGAATATTGGACTCCGAGCTGTAAAGCGATTAAATTAGAAACATCATAAAGACTCATAAGCAAATACTTTTGATATAACGCAGCTGCGCAGCCCTATTCTCTAACTCACAGTGTTGTAACTATTGTCAGTGGTTAATTCACATATGTTGTTGGAGTACATGACTGAAATAATCCCAGTAACAGCCTTTGCATGAATGGGTTGAAATTCCATTCAGTGTTATTGCCAGGAAGGGATCACATTAATTCTTCACAGTTTGCACACTACCGGGGGAAGGCCCTGGCCACAAGAGAAAGGCGACTTCTCCCCAGACATAATGAATTCCTGCAATTCTGATAACTCCATCAAGTGAAGTTTTTATAGCACAGAGTACTTGAATGCTCTGAATTCAACTGTACCGACATGGTCATTTTAAGCTGATCTTGTATTATATAATGAGTGGTGAGCAAATGCTGGATCCCTTTGAATGTCAAAGGAATTCAGATTTAAATCTGGGGAACTTTGGAATTATACTAAAGTAAAAGGGAAGATGATCATCTGTCTTTAAGATTCAGGATGGATTTGCTGAAGATCTGCTAGTTTGTTGTAAAGCCAGGCCACAGTGCCTGATCTGCAAACTCATACTTCAGAATGAGGTTTTCCATTTTATTGGGAACATGTTAGTCTCTTAATGAGGGAAGAGAAGGGAATTTAGTTAAATAATTTATTCAGAAATGAGAATTCTCTGCAATCAAGATATATCCATACTAACTTTTTCTTGTGAAGAAACAAACTCATAGAGCATATACCAAGTCTGACCATAATTTTTCAAGTTACATTTACTTTCAAGAAAACTGTATGTCAGGACTTTATTTGTTTTCAGCTGCAGTGGTGATAAAGCCCAGCTTTAAAAAGATCTTTTCCATTGGTCTTTGGCAGCAGAGCACTGAGTATTGGCTGAATTCAGTAACAGCACTAGCTTTAGGGAGATATGTGTTCTGCTCCCAGAGGCAATGGCATCTTGAAAGAGAAAAGCCAAAGAAGAGGTGAAAGGGTGAATCACTTCTCAATTGATTTGTTGTGAAGTCTACCAATTTTGCTGCTCCTACCTTCAGATTCCAGTTGTTTCAGCTGCTGAGAAGTGTGGAGGAAGTATGCCCTTAACAGAATAAAGGCTGCTATCACAGGCACTGATGCCAGGAAGATGTAGGGTTGTAATATTGAGACTACTGTTATAGCGCCAATCACAATCAGTATTAACTGTAGAATGAAAGAAAAATACTATTGATATAGTAAACTTGTTATTTTATAGACTCCAGATTGGTGATGAATCTCCTTCCCATGGCAACTACGTATTGTTTTAACAAACATAAAGTGCTAACCTAAGCAGGACTTGCAGCTGAGAACAAACCTCCATGAAACGATCGTGCATAACTTAGACTAGATCCACAACCTGTGGAAATAAGCTGCCATCTTTCCTAATAGACTGAAGAAGTGTTTTCTGCAGGACAACCAGTATTTCAGGCTTCTAAATTATGAAGCCACGCAAAACTAATAGCAGCTAAGCACTCATTCTCCAGTTAAAATTGTAAGAATGACACCTGCAGTATCTGTAACCACCTCTAAAATCTACCAGTCCTGTCCCCGTGTTGTCTGGGCAAGGAGTGCCAGACTCTCAGGAGCTGAGTGCCAGTCTCCTACAGGTTCTGGGCCAATCAGTTTTTCTGAGGGTCAGAAAAAATGGGGAGTCACACACAATCTCTTGCTCAAGGGACTTCAGCCCACATACAAAACTAACACCGCTACTTGTCCTGATCAGAAGACAGGCAGTAAGTCGTCAGAGGACTTGTGGTATGAAAAATCAGCAGTTTCAGGAGGAAAAAAAAAAAAGAAAATAAGATGTTTTAAGGCAACAGATGACTCAAAAGGAAGAACATCACTCCATAGTTAATCTATTTAAACCCCCAGAGACTACTACCATTCTCATAAGACCTCATCCTCAGTAGCTCCAAATAGATTTAGCTAAATCAGGCCTTGATCTTTACTCTAGAAGCACTTTAAACTCTTGGACCATTTTTGTTTCATACCTAAATCTAATGAAAACCAATGTACACAGAATAGCAAAGCTCTGCCATGCACCAGGGCATTACCTTTCACTCTAAATAACTCCTTCAAAGTGAAAACCTATCAGCTTAAACCAACTGCAAATGGACACTTTGGACAAAATGATGAACATCGATCACACTGAAACATCACTGCAAATGACCAGTCAGCAGAGAAATAGATGGAAAGTAAAACTAATTTCACATTAGGAAGAAACTTGCAATTGGTGCTTTTTCTACTAGATCCACATAAGTTTGAGTGGGGATTTAAATTCCCCGTACTCCAAGTCAGAGGTCTTTCACAAATAGGTAAGCATGTTCCCCACTTCCCACCCTTTTTTTTTGTCAGAGCAATGCAACAGCAGAGTCAAAGCTTATGAAAAGAAACCTGTAACAACTGAACTAGTTAAAGATTTTTTTCACTATTTTCCTCATTTTCCTTAAAAGAATGACACGTGGGTTAAGGCTGTGCAGAGTGTACAGCAATGCAAGAACGTAGCAATGCAAGAATGGATTTGTGCTTGCTCATTACTTCAAACTGCAGAATTTAGTACCTCTTGTATGTCTAACTGTTAAGAAACAAATGAGCTGTTCAATTGGTAGTGAGCCAAGTTATACAGCTCTCACATTACTTGCGATCACATAGTCACACAGTGGCTATTTTAATTTCCACTTCCATCATTTACTCAAATTTTGCACGGGCCACCATGATGCCATATGGTTCTCACTGCTGGTTCAACAGTTCTTTCACTACAAAGGTGAATATGAAAATTTCCCTCCCTCATAAACTTCAAACACAAAGCAAGTGTAAAGTCAAACAGAAGATGACACTTTCTCTAAAAAAGCAGTAGCAAAAATCGACTCTGGCAAATGGTCAGGGAATGGGAGCAGAGGACTCATGCAGCCCCGTTAAGAGACACCGCGCTGAGCTGCAGTGACCCCAGGTGCTGAGCTCTCAGGCCTGGGACAGAGGCCAGACAGGAAGACGCATTCTGGTGCTTACTCTGTGTCACCAGTTTGGAGAATGCAGCTTGTGGTAGAGACAGCAATTCAGCAAGGGTTCAGGGGGGCAATGACTAAAGCAGCCAATTTGATTAACCAATGGGGGCCTGTGATTTAGGGAAAACCAGTCATGACCATAGGTGTGGATGTGCAGTGAGCTTGCTATGACCTTCTGAGTGTTAAACCTTAGAGACAAGTAATATACACAGCATCTCATACAAAGGATCTCCAAGAAATTATGACTCCACTCTAAGTACTAGTAGAAGACCAAGAAAGATGTTAAAACTAGTGGTAATGCTACTGCAGTCGTTAGCTGGCTACAATTCATACCCAAAGACGTTTGGAAGCAGGTCAGGTGGCTGTCAGAGAAAACATCATTGATGCTATCTCTTGTGATTGATGTAAAAGCTGATACTGCTTACTCTTTTATGGGTAACTGGGTAAACTCCACTCACTGGAAATTCACCCTGGCCTTTTTCATTCTGAATCCTCATTTATCCTAGACTAAAAGCCCTGCTCCCTCTTAGGGAAGGCCCCCTAATATGTCTAAAGCCCATAAAAGCCTAAGAAAAACTGTGTCATGACACCTGCAGCTGCAACAGCAAAGGAGGCAGCGTCCCTAAACAAGGAGTTAGCCAGTCATCTACCAGCTCATTCTCATAGAAAAAGAAGTAAGAACCAGCTCTAAAATTTTGCATCAAATTCCTAGGAAAATCTCTGAAGTCAGAAGGATGAATTTATGCAAACTTAAACTGAAGGCTAGCAGAGCCTAAGTCTCCGTCTCCACCAGAGTCAGATTCAGGCATCTCAGGACATTTAGAAGCTACATTTTTCTGTCAAGCTCTGCACCTGGGAACGTGTAAGCACACATACCAGTACAGGCTGGAGGTGGACTGACTGGAAAGCAGCTTTATAGAGAAGGCTTTGAGGGTCCTGGTGGACCATGAGGCAGCAATACCCGCCTTCAGCAAGGCAGGCCAACAGCAGCATTGTCAGAAGATCAAGGAAGGTGATTCTTTGCTTCTCTTCAGCACCAGTGAGAATGTATCTGGAGTGGGCTCTCCAGTGCAAGAGAAATACAGACAAACTGGAATGAGTCCAGTAAAAGGTCTTGAAGATGATAAAGGGCCTGGAGCATCTCACATACAAAGACAGGCTGATAGAGCTGGGATTGTTTAGCCTTAAGAGAAGGCTTAGTGTGATCTATAATTTATATAAGTATCTGATGGTATTTATTATACTTATCTAAACTATAAATTGCATATATATGCAAATACTTATATTTTTTTACATTTTTTAAAAAATATGCTATAAATATATATATATACACACACACATATATATGTAAAAAATATGCTATATATATGCTATAAATACCACTAGGTACTTGGTGTGGAGCAAACAAGCCTGAATCAGATTCGTCTCAATGGCACCCAGCAGGAAGATAAAAGGCAAGAGGCACAAGACGAAATGCTCAAAAATTCCACTTAATCATAAGAAAAAAACATCTTTATTCTGGGGATGGTCAAACAGTGGAACAGGTTACTCAGAGAACTTGTGGATTCTCCACTCTTGGAGATATCAAAAATCCAACATGGCCCTGAGCAACCTGTTCTAGCTGAACCTGCTTTGAGTGGAGGGATTGGAGAGGTCTGTGATCCTAGGTCCAGAGATTCCTTCAACATTCTCTGACTCTGTGATAATCAGCATGGAAGGAGGAAGTCATCTGTACAACTTTTTTTATCTTTCAGAGGAACCTGACTTTGTCCTTTAGAAGAGTCCACAGAAGCCTGAAGCTGCCAAAGAAGTCTGAATCTATGGAGGATCAGAAGTAAAATATTTTTTACGAAGGCATGACTGGTAAAAAGCATTCAAGACAGTGGGTAGGTTCCCTGAACTTCACCTGAAGAACCTAGAAAGACAGGGCAGATTATCATGCATGTTCAGAAACCTCTGCAGTTGAGACTGAGGAGACAGAGGTGAACTTACGGAACATTAAAGTAGAGGTCAGCCTCTGAAAGGCTTCAGAATAGAAAAGCCAAATCTAGGGATTTTCCTTATCCTTGAAAACGTAAAAAACTAGTCAGTTTCTTGAGGAGAGTTTGAAATGTAGAGACAGACTAACTACAATAATTTTGGAATAACATCCCGATTGTCATTCGAAAATATTAGAAACAAAGTGGCCACACCAAAAGGCAATAGGGAATCCTGATCACACCAAAAATTACATTAATGATTCAGAGAAGGTTTCAATGTCCATGTTTACTGATTCAGTAAACCTTCACGAAATCAGCAGGACATGAAGAAGAGTTGTCATATCCTTGAACCTCTTCATGTATAGCTGCATGGGCCTCTCTTAAAGTTATGAGCCAATTTTATTAATTACTACCAAAGATATAGGGAAAGGGACTCAGTTTTGATCAGACCATCACGTTAGCAGTGACTGTAAAGCAGAGCAAACTCACAGATGGAGACAATCAATCTGTGCAGCAGTGTTTGGGTTTATTAAATCAGGCCTGCATATCTTCTAAATAAAGGTAGAGAGGAACAGGAGGGCCAGGGAAGATTTGGTTTTATTTTCCAAATGTTATGGGAACCAGCTCTGTCTGAGGAAAAGTTGGAGTTGCAACATGAGTGGTGTAATACTAATGAGGGGTGCTGGGATCCACACGGAGCCACAAAGTCTCAAAATAAGCAGGATGAGGACCGAAGGCATCTCCCTTGAGAAATACCAGAATTGTCTCTCTTTGATGTTCTCTTCAGTGTGCTTGAATTGGAAGGTTGTTCAAAACTCAAGATTTTGCAGGGCGTGGAGTTTCCTAGGAGGCATGCTGGAAACAAGCCTTTCGATCCAAAATTCCACAACTCTTAGGGATATAAAATTACTCCAAAAAGTAGTCTTCTAAAGCTCTCCATCATCAGAAATTTATCCAATGCCTCACAGACTCAGCTTAAATCCCAGAGACTCAGGGCAAGACACAAAGATGCAAAGGATAAAAAACAAGGGGAAAGAAAAGAAGAAAAAAAGAGCAGAACTGCCCAACTGAGAATTGAAACCATTGAAAGTACATCATCATAGGTCAAACCACCCAATAAGGTAGGCCTGGAAGAGTTGCCACAGCCAATAAAAGAACAGAAAACCCAAGAATATATTCAACAAAAGAGAAATAAATTAAAGGTGATGCTAGCAAACTGGCAACAGGAAAGGCTGAGTTTAAGTCATGAAAATGACTGAATACAGTTAAAGAATAGCATGAAAAAAATACTAACATAGAGCCAAGATACCTGCAAGAGACTAAAGAATGCCCTTTACACCTTTGAAGATGAATGGGGGCAGCAGCAGCGATACTTCTACTGTAGGGGTCTGCAGGGCAAAAACACTTCTGAGGCTGAGTACTAAAAGTGGTTTGCACAAACAGTGGAAGTATACATATAAGGAAGTACTCAAAAAAAAAGCAATGAAGTTGACTTATAAGATAAGCAGCTACGTAAATACATATACGGACTGAAAAAAAAAGGATGAGGGATTTAATTCCAGTTGTTACCTTCTCTTATTAAAATGATTTATTTTGCATGACGAACGACTGAGACTTTACAGCAAAATTTAGAACTTTCATTCTACAAACCTGAATGAAGTCAAATACTGTAAGTGGAAGTAAGTCATCCAGTACTGCCGTGTCTTTGGAGAATCTGTTAAGCATACCACCTATGGATTAAGAAAAACAAAGAAAAAAAAAGAATTCAAACATTCTAACACCACAAAATCCTAGATTTATGACTTAACAAAAGTACAATTTTTCTTAATAGAAAATATTAAGGGTAAGTACAAGACATTTTCTAGCACAAGCAATTCCATTACAGTTAAGTGGAGCTACAGCTTCTTTCC